GTCCCCCTGCCTCACAGCACCGTGCTGTCAGCTCACCGTTGCCGCGGCCCTTCCTTGGTGCCCGTGCCCCCTCCCCCCCTATTTAGTGTCATCGGTGACACCATTCCCTGCTTTCACCCACAGCTCAGCGTGTCTATAGAAAGTGCTGTTCACCCCGAGGTGAATGGCATTGGCCGTTCAGAAGCGCCCAGCCTGCGTCCGCTGAGGCCTCGGATGCGAGGGGACTTTCCGTGGCCCCAGCACTGGGCGAGCCCTCGCCTTCGGGAGGCCCTAGTGGGTCACAAGAAGGTCTCTGTGGGCCTCCTGTGGGGACAGAGAGCAGGTCGTTCTCCCTGAGGCTCTGGCCGGTTAGCATGTCTCAGTGACAGAGACGTCGCCAGGCCCCCGAGCGCTCCGAACCCCTGAGGATGAGGCCTGTGCCAAGTAGCCAGGAGCCCGAGGGCTGGCTCCTAGGGGGCCACATGCCACCACATGGACCTGAGGGCCAGCGCCTAGGGGGCCACACGCCACCACATGGAGCCCGAGGGCCGGCGCCTAGGGGGCCACACGCCACCACATGGACCCGAGGGCCACGCTGTCTGGGCCTCAGCTGGGCTCCTGGGCGTCTGGGTCTCAGCTCAGGGACACTGGACTCAGCGCACCCAGCAGATCACTCTGCTCGGAAAAAGCCGCTGCCACTGCCTCCCCTCGTCCCGCTCACCAGAGAGGACGTCAGCTGTGGCCCCGTGCTTCCCGTGGACAGTGTGACAGGCAGAGGACGTCACCCGCGTGGTCTGTGCCCACGGCCGGAGGGCATGTTTGGTGATGGTGGCGGCAGGACGGGAGACTGGGAGCTCTTGCCCCCTCTACCTCGGACAAGCTCTAGTTGTCTGCATCTCACAGATGAGAGAGCGAGACAGAGGGAAGCACAGTGCTCCTCTGACCAAGGCAGGGCCGGGGCTGGCTGCTCCGTCCCCTCTGAGCCGTGAGGGGCCTTCCAGGGAGAGCAGGGTGTGAGGAGACCCCTCAAACACGTGGAAAGCAAGGAAAAAACGTGAGGATGTTGGGGCAGCTATGGGACATGTGCATGAGTGTTTGCACATGTGTGTGCACGTGTGTGTTTGGGGGCTGTCTCCTGCCAAAACCAGGCCCACATCTGCACACTTGTTTGCTGAGTGTTAATTCCTCCCGGGTCCTCTTCCCCTTTGTTGAATCTGAAATGAAAATGACTCAGCAGAAAGGAAAGCCACGCCCTGATGCCCTGAGTGAGAATATGTGGCCCTTGAGCTGGCGGTTCCCCGACCAGGCCCTGGTCACCATGGTGCACGGGGCTCCTGACCCGTCTGTTACCTGGCCCTTCCCATGGCTGCTCGAGACCCGCCTTCCTGCAGGGAGGCCCTTCGTGGGGGTGGAGGCCCCACTGTGGCCACGCGACCTTCCTGGAGGGCAGGCCCCTCCTCTCTGGCCTCATCACGGGCTGGGGAGAAGGGTCCTGCGGGGGGTCGGTGACTGGTTTTCAGATCTGAGGAGCCCAGCGGCTGCCATGCCGGCGCCTGCTCTGTGGGAGGATAGCCTGGGTTAGGCACGCTCCTGCCTGCAGGTCTTGGGAGGGTTTGCTGTTCGAAGGCACCCGCCCTGGTCCTTCGGGAAAGTGGAGAATTGTCCGTCGAGGGGGGACT